CAGCTGTTTTGGTCTTCTGTATGTGCTCCTGCCAAGGCTTTTTCCTCCTGCAACCTCCCTAGGCCAGGATAAAGAGTCAGCGCTCAGAACTCACAATAAATCTCACTCAGACTCTGCAGGTGTTGGAGGCGCTGCTTCATTAAAACACGATCTTTCCAGTCAACAGGGGTGGTGGCATGGTGGTCAGGTGATATAAACCTCATTAGGCTCCTACAGCTTTCCCAAATGCTTTCTCTGAGGACTTAAGCATGTGAAACGTGGCAGCCCATCACACTCCCTTCAGCGGTACACGGCCTCCGTAATGTATTGTTACTTGAAAAATGTACAATCCAAACAAAAGGTCAGGCCTTCTGCAGGTAGCAGAACAGTTTTCCATTAGCAAAATGAAATTTGTTTCTGAAACCTGGGAAGACGGGGGTGGGAATGAAAGAGTGGGAATGTAATAAAACATTCACGAGAACGCGATGGCCTTAATAAAGTAACAAATATGGTGCCCTCCCCAAGAGGGGCGGGGGAGCCCTCGGGTGACAGGCCCCCGTTATGTGCTGGAGCTTGAGGGGACAGAAGCAAATTTTGCCAGCACTGAGTGGAATGGAAGCGATGGATGCAGAACTTGAAGGGTTTCTGGGCAAAGAGATGAGGGAGAAGGAAGGTAGTCTCACTTCCTCCCTGCCCAGCAGTTTTTCATGTAAACCTCCAGGACCGTTATGTGGGAAAACATTACGGCGATGAGATTATTCCTTCCCACTTTCCTCAAAGCCCTCTCAGGAATCCTGTTGCCCCTGATGGCCTGCAGCAGTTGCAGCTGGTCAGGTTGAGTGTGTGTGAATGTGACAGAGAGAGAGAGGAATTATTTTGCCTAAAGTTAGCTCCCCACCTCCAGCAATCCTCTAAACACCACCATCTGCCTGGAGGTTCCAGGCTGTGGTTTTACAAAATTATTCCCTTAGGTTGCCCTTCACAATTAAGGATTTAATTGAGGTGGTATTTTGGTTCCTTTGTACCATGGCAAAGGACTAAAAAGGTGGATGTAGTACACTGTACAGATAGATATGATTAAGCAGCTATGGCTGCCCAGTAGTCTTTTACTTCACAGCTATGCCATGGAAGGCCCCTTGAATGATCATGATGCTGATCATTTATAGAAGATTTTCAAACATCCAAAGTGTATCATGTCAGTTATGGCATTGCTATCCTTACAACAGCCCTGAAGGTAGGTCAGTCTTGTTGCAAATGAGGGAATTGAGGCTGTGGGTGTGTATGAGAGGGAGAGAGAGAGAGAATTGTTTACCTAGGAAACACCCCAGCAGCTGTTGCCTCCAGTTTTGCCTTGGGGCAGGGGCAGGCGGTACGTGGCATCAGAGTGGACACTTTTAAAGCACCTGCCAGTCTTTGCAAGCGTTCACTTGGAATGCACATAGAGCACTAGGTAAGCATGGGGTGCTGATGTATCCCTACCTGGCACCCTACCTGGTGCTGACCTTTAAAGCCCTAAATGGCCTCGGCCCAGTATACCTGAAGGAGCGTCTCCACCCCCATCGTTCAGCTCCGAGGACCTTCTGGTGGTTCCCTCACTGCGAGAAGTGAGGTTACAGGGAACCAGGCAGAGGGCCTTCTCAGTGGCGGCGCCTGCCCTGTGGAACACCCTCCCATCAGATGTCAAGGAAATAAGCAACTATCTGACTTTTAGAAGACATCTGAAGGCAGCCCTGTTTAGGGAAGTTTTTAATGTTTGATGTTTTATCGTGTTTTTAATATTCTGTTGGGAGCTGCTCAGAGTGCCCTGGGAAACCCAGCCAAATGGGCAGGGTATGTATGTATGTATGTATATATGTATGTATAAATAAATAAATGCATAAGCTTGGCATAAGAATAAGAATAAGAAATTAAATTTGTATGCCACCATAGAATCATAGAATCATAGAGTTGGAAGAGACCACAAGGGCCATCGAGTCCAACCCCCTGCCAAGCAGGAAACACCATCAGAGCACTCCTGACATATGGTTGTCAAGCCTCTGCCATATACCGGTACCTGAAGGTTTCAGGGCGGGTCACAACATAAAGCTTCAATATAAAAACACATAATGCATAATAAAAAGAATTAAAATGATTAACAGTTCTAACATATACCAACTAATAAAAAATACACTCCCCAACAAAAGCCCCCTAAACAATCCCCTAGCCCCTCAAATACAAAAGCAAAAGTCCAAATTAACATATAACAAATACAAATGAAACCGCTAAGTGGGAAGAGATCATGGCTAAGACCCAGTGCTTTTGTGTGTGGCAGTACTCATTGGTATGGAGTACCATCACACCTTTTTTGCTGCCCATGGCAGCCATTTTGTGCTGCCACTCACAAAACTTTCCTCAAGATATGAGTACCACACACACACAGCACTGTTGTGATATGATGAGCCATGCACTTAGTTCTACGCACCAAAGTTATATAAGATTATGCTTCTCAGACAGCAACTGGCCATCATCACAGAGCAAGCTGAGGGGACCTTCAAAAGCAGATAGTGGTCAGGCATGAGTATAAATTAATAAAAAAAAAGGGGGGGAGTCTAAAATCCTACTGGGCATGCACAGGTCCTTGATGAGCCCAAACTACAGTGGTACCTCGGGTTAAGTACTTAATTCGTTCCGAAGGTCCGTTCTTAACCTGAAACTGTTCTTAACCTGAAGCACCACTTTAGCTAATGGGGCCTCCTGCTGCTGCCGCGCCGCCGGAGCACGATTTCTGTTCTCATCCTGAAGCAAAGTTCTTAACCTGAAGCACTATTTCTGGGTTAGCGGAGTCTGTAACCTGAAGTGTATGTAACCTGAAGTGTATGTAACCCGAGGTACTACTGTACTTTTGTGGTTTTCAGCCTGTGAAGTAGATTTAAAGCCAGCAGAAGCACAGTAAGGTCATATAAAGGAAGAGAAAACTGGTTTTTCACAGCAGGTGCTCTTCTCAGTTTCCCAGGAACCTAAGCACTATCAAATAACAACAGGGATAACATGTCTTATATCTTCAACATACTTATTAAAGGTTTTGCTCACTGGTGGTTATGTGAAAGTTGCATAAACCCTTCTTCCTTAATTATGGAATTGTTCAGGAATAAAAGAGGGAAACAAAATACCAGTCAATGCAGATTATGCAAAGCCTCTGATTAGTTTATGCAATTAAAAGTGTGTATAACATACTCAGAACTAGCAGATGATAGCTAAAATAGAGGCAAATATGCAATTTTTCTTTCATCTAATGTGGAAGGCATTTAAATGCTTTTAAAAAATAAGACATTTCATTTTTTAAATACAAAAATATACTCCCCCCTGCAAAAAATATATGGGTATCTGGATTTCCCATCTCTTAAAAATATTTTAATTGAAGTATTTTATTATTAGTAGCATGCATAATATACATCTACATAGATATATAAATACTACATTATAAATATAAAGTTTTGGGTCCAAAGTGACTCTCCTGCAAATGGAAATACTCCTCCCATTCATGGAAGCCACTGAAATCCAGTGGTTGCTTTCTTTTGCAGGAAGGAACGTAATTTTTAATGGTGATCTCATCCCACTTCTGCCTCCCACCCATGCTCATGCTATTCTGGAGAGTCTTGCAGTTTCAGGAGCAGATTTTTGAAGGGCACAGGGGGCTGAATGAAAGGAGGAATAGGTGAATATAATCTCCCTGTTTCCATTCCTCCACCATGAGCCAAACATTACTGAGCACAAAATCTGGATCAGATTTATAACATTTAGTATGCAATGCACAGTTAATAAGTCACCAATGTCTCCATATATTTATGTCCGTTTATATTCCCATCTGAATACTAACAAAAGGTGATCAGAGATCTCTAACTTTGGTTGATCATTATATGTGCTGTACATTTTAGTTCCATGTACCCCTCACAAAAGCGAACAGAAACTCAACCTTTTTCTAATTATTGTCCACTCTCTGTAATTTTTTTTTACATACATATATGAGAAACATCTATATTTGTCAATGTCCTAATCAGAAAAAAATTAAGTGAAAGGGGAAGAATATTCTCTAAATGTATCTAGTCATTGTCCACCTGCCCCCAGCCTTACAAATACAATTAGATGGGGCAGAATTGCTTCATACTGCTCTCTCAGTGGTAGAGACACAAATCACACCACTCCCCCCATCATAATTAAGATCTCTGCTGTTTTTAGGTTCCATGCCAGATGCTGATCTTTAGTTGGAACAGGTGCTTAAAAATGCTCCAAATAAAGGATCCAGATTAATGGGCTATTTGGCTGTCAGCCAGAAAGCATAGCTTAATGCCCTCCAAAACTTCTCTCTCTTTTTCCAGATATACATTCACAGTATGTACTGTAACTAATGATGGCTGCTTGCTATCCAAGTTTCTCATCCATGCACAGGCAAAGAGCAAGCGCATGGATAAAATAGGAATTTATTTGTTTCCCCCTGCTCCTAGCATTCTGGATGAGATTTCTCCATTATCTCTATTTAGCAAACATTGTTACTTCATCTGGAACAGTTAAATGCCCCTTTAAAAAAAGAAACACATCTGTTATTCCTTCTGGAATACTCCTGTATCGCTGCATGAAAACTTCCAGCTTCTATAGGGAAGCCATTTGCTTACCCAACCAAGAGCTGTGCCAGCTTTTGTTTTAGCATCATGTGTTGAAGCGTGAACTCTCTGGTGAAGTGAAGCAAATGAGGCAATGATAGTTTGTGTGGCACTTCTAACCAATGAAGATCACAGATCAAGTTCAAACAATCTCACTAACGTAACTTTTTGGCTCTGGCTTAAGTAGAAAGCAGGACCAAAAGGCCATGAGGTAGAACAAAGGTCCCATCCTTCTCGATCTATTTCCCCCCAGGATGGTCCAGACCTATGGTAACACAAAACCTCTAAGTGCCCTCCCAGAGAGATGATTCAGTTGGATATCATGGCCAACAGTACTGAAGCTGCTGAGAGATCCAGGTGAACCAACAGTGTTGTGTTCCTCCTATTCGTAGAATAGCCTTTCTCAACCTTGGGTTCCCAGATGTTGTTGGACTGCAAGTCCAATATCCATAGACAGCAGGGGCAGCAGTCAGGGATGATGGAAGTGGTAGTTCAACAACATCTGGGAACTCAAGGTTGAGAAAGGCTGTCCTAGAATGTCATCCATCCAACAGTGACCAAGGCTGTTTCTGTCCCCAAATCAATCTGGATTAGAAGGGATAAACTATCAAAGGCTTCAGTGCCATATTATTGTAGAACAATAACATGCTAATAAACATTTTCAGAATCTCACAGAAAGTTCAGCATGCTGCTATTGTGTGTCAGAAGAGATGAACGAAAATGCTTTACTGAAATAAGTCTTTCTGGATTAAAGTATAGATGCCAGAGTTCATTTTCCTGACTACATTTTTCAAATACAGGGGTACCTTGGTTATGTGTGTCCCATTTTTTGGATTACAACCCATTTTTGGAGGGATTACAACCAATTTTTGGGGGGAGGCCCCATTGGTGAAAGTGCTAGCCTTGGGTTACAACCTGTTTTGGTTTACAACCGGACCTCCGGAACGGGTTATGATTGTAAACCAAGGTACCACTGTACAAGAAAAACTGACACCAAGTGTCAAGATCTGTATATACAGTACAGCATGGCAGGCTGCAGAGTTTAAATCAAGAAATACGTGGTTAAAGATGCTGTCTGCATCCCTGCAAGGTTTTTGTGTTCTAGAGAAGTAATCGAGAAATTCCACGGAAAGTTATTTTGAGTGGGTCAAGGTTGATGAATTCTTTGTATGTGTGCTGAAGTGTTGTTCATTGCCTACTATGGCATCCTTGGGCTCAAGATATTGTGTGAGTTTTGCTGCAACAGTTCCAGTATTGTGATTAATGTGTTTTCAAAGGGACTTGAGCACATAGCAAAACAGTGTAACAAGTCAGCAACCCAAGTAGTTTACCTAGTCGTAAAATATATTAATGGGGTTCCAGCTGGGAGCAAAAATATCAGAGTAGCATGAGTATGGCTTGTAAAAGGAACATTGGTATTTTTCCAAGTTAGGTTGGGCTTGTTATGGGTTGAGGCTTGTTTGCACATGCCTCCTCTGCTCTTGATTTTTTAACACTTGATGACAGACAGCTGAATATGTGAATGGAAAAGTGACTTTGGGCCATATGCAAGCTTATCTGTGGTATCAGATCAACGATTCATAACATTTAAGGTTGCAATCCTGTACACACTTGCCTGAAAATAAATCTGGGTGAAATTACTTCTCAGATCTGAAATGGTTCATTCACCCACACGGACCACCACTTAATGTGCACCATTATGTGGTGGTTTGCATATGTGGATGAAATTTCAGGAGTGCAGTGGTGCAGTCAGGGCAGCACTTTGGGGCAGGGAGTCATTCAGTGTTCATTCATTCACCAATCCTTACATGTGGAACTGGACAGTTCAGGTGGAAGTACATAAATGAGCAGAGCACACTGCTTTTACACATCTCCACTTCCTCAAAACAATGGATGCTCCAAAGAGATGTGACTCTTAGCACTGTGTTAACAGTATCCCGCACATCAGTCATCTCCTCTGGGTTCATATCCACCACTCGGTTCTCTCTTTTTCTGACAGTTTCTACTGAACCGGTGCAACATGTTTTCCTTCGCCTTTGAGCAAGCCTGCCTTTTTAGTTGCCAGTTTGGATGCTATATTAATGGGAGCTAATAATATACCAAGCTCTTTGGAGAAAAGCCAGAAAACAAACATGGTTAATAAAGGGATCTTCTAACTAGCTATTTGCTTTATTCCTTAGGTACCTTAGGTTTCTTATGGGACCACTATGTCACGGTAGCACTTTGTGTACCCCCAGAGGAGGTCAGTGAACCCATACTGCATAAATGAATCATTTTGGCATATGAAATAGGTTTAACGTATACTGAGAAATGCAACCTGCATCATTCTTTGCTGCTATCATATCCTGTATCAACGTGGCAGCAATTTATATACAATTAAAACCGCTCTTTTAAAGCTGCTCAGAGGACAGCAGGCACTAAGCTTATAAGAGTATACTTATCTAGCCTTTCCTTGTAATGATAATATGGCTGCTTCGTGGATTTCCTTTTTGTTCACTTCAGAAGATGGAGGCTTATTATAAAATAGCGTTTAAGAGTATTAATATGTAAATTTGTTTTCTAATACTGAAGAAGTGCCCCCAGATAGCTTTGTCAGCATTCATCAACAGTTCTCGCTTATGGTTTGAATATGGAACCTGTCAGAAGCTTTGAAACGCTGACAGATCATTCTGAGCAAAGCACTTTATATTTGACAGAGCCGCTTGGTTTTCCCAGCCCTGCATCCCTGCTTGACTGAGCAAGGGATGCTGTTACGTTTGGCTAAGTTCATTTTGGAGTCTCTAGGGGTCACAACCCAGAAAACGGAGTGACAAAGGGCCATCAATCAATGGGAGAAGACTCCTGGCTCAGATACTGAATTCCTAAAGCTATGCGGAATACATGACACTTGCCATTTAACCTGCGGAATATAAATATCTTCTTGCCATTGACAGCCTGAGGCTGAGATCAAGGTTTCAGTCATTTCCGACAACACTGTTGAGCAGTCAGGCCCCCCCAAACCGACAGGGTGCTGTGTAGATCCACAAGCAATAGTGCGTCATTGTTTATGGAAGTTAGTTGTCATCTATCAGCTTCTTATGCCATTCCCTGCTTTGAGAAAGCCCAGAAGTTCACTTGGAAGAAACAGCCCCATAAACAGCAAAGCACATGCAGACAGATCCATATGCACCCCTGGATCATGGCCAAAGAGTGCACTGTGTATCTACATCTTTGACTAATACATGCCGTGATATCCAATTTAGGGTTCCTCCAGATGATCTGTTTATTAAGCATTCATCCTGATTTGCATGCACAAAGCTTACGAGGCAGTGTCAATCATTTGTTCCGATTCCTTTGCAGGGAGGTTATTCCACAGTGAGAATTCATCTGGAGTTGCTTGTGGGGCAGTTAATGCATCTTCCTATTAATCAGTTATTTATCCCACACACTTTCTACTTAATTCCCCTGCCATTCGCCTATCTGCAAAAAGCCAGTATTTTAAAAAATGAACATGCTGAGACAGAGCGCTTTAATCCACTTTAACTGTGCAAAAGTCACACAGTTGAATCCTTTGCACAAGATACAGTCTGGATGCGACCTTAGATTATACAAATATTAACCTTTTTTCTTTTCAAAATAACAAGTGGTGATCTGGTATCATAATCAAATGTGATGTAGTTATACAAAAGGCTGACTTTCTGCATATTCAAAGGCTAATTTTCTGCCTAAAGCAAACACATACTTCTTTTCCTTTTTTGTTTAGTACATATACAGTTAGGGCAGCAAGTGATCCTAAACGTATTTACTAGGGAGGAATCTCCACTGAGGACAAAGGACTTTCTACTGAAAAAATACTCACAGGGCGTCACTATCTTTCTAGAAAAAGAGGTGCCGGACGGAACTCACCATGAACGCCTCCCTTGTTCTCTTATAATGGCAGTGGCGCCCAGCTGAGAAGTGCCAGAACTGAGTTCCAGCGAGTTCCAGCTGAAAAAAAGCTCTGATTGATATAGCATAATGTGGAACTGGTGATATGTTTTCACATTCTGCTTGAAGGCTCTATTTGCTGTATATATAAACCCTGCACTTCCTCCCTTGCTTTATTGCAAGAGAATCAGCAGAGGGCGTACAAGTTAAATGAAGGAAAACTTAACAACTTCAGCCAAGCTTGCGATACCTGTTACCCTGCACAAATGAAAATTCAGCTGTGTTCTCCCCCGTTAAACTGTGAGCCTGCTTTGTGATTTGAGGGTCTTGCAGATGTCCTCTGTCTTCACCATCTCAGTGGCACCTCCACGTTCAGGATACATCAAAACCAGGATGCAATTTTTTATTACTAATATTACGGCAAGTTGCAAAAAGCATTTTTGGGGGGTTATTGTTTGTCTTCATATGTCTTCTTTGTTTGTACCCTGTAACAATTCTTCTTCTAGTTTCTTCCCTTTGCCCCTCCAAATATTAAAAAATAAGCCAATTCTGATATTATAACAAGTTTAAATTGGAATATAATAATCTACACAATAAAAACTAATGGGTGATACCCAAGTTAAATGTACTCAGGGTAGATACATAGAAATCAATGGACTTAAATCCATTGATTCTAGTGGGTCCACTCTGAGTATGACTTAGCTGGATGTCATTGAATATTAATAGTAATACAGTGAAAAGAAAGGAAACACACACACATGTCAGCACTGCACTCAACATGATGTGTCTCCTGTTATTAGGCACTAAATGAGGGATGGGAACATCTTTAGGAGCCAATCCACTTTCGTTTTAACTTTGGTTGGTGATGGCCACATACAATGCAAATAACAAGTAGTGGGAGATATAGGGAGCTTGCAGTGATGAAGGAAAGCTCAATGATCTACATAAAATCTCACAACCAGCTCTTAACTGCTAAACTCTTGCTCAGCATTGTGACCGGGCTAGTGCCAAGTTCTTCCCACAATGAAACTAAAAACCTACCTTTATATAGTGGCACCCACAGGTGTTTAAATAACTCCATCTATGCAGAGCCTATTCTTCGCCACACCTGCAATGCAACACTAGCAAGAGACCAGTTTCAGAGACACACGGATGTGTACCATGTTGTACATTGACTGGAATGAGCACACTTAAATCCCCAAGCCAAGTCTGTGTGTAGACATTGTCCCTGAGCCAAGATGAACAGTTCATCAACAGTTCACTGGTGAGCCAGTGTGGTGTAGTGGTTAAGAGCGGTGGACTCGTAATCTGAGGAACCGGGTTCGCTTCCCTGCTCCTCCACATGCAGCTGCTGGGTGACCTTGGACTAGTCACGTTTCTCTGAAGTCTCTCAGCCCCACTCACCTCACAGAGTGTTTGTTGTGGGGGAGGAAGGGAAAGGAGAATGTTAGCCGCTTTGAGACTCCTTCGGGTAGTGATAAAGCGGGATATCAAATCCAAACTCTTCTTCTTCTTCTTCTTCTTCAGGGACAGAATGCACATCTTTAAAAACGAATTATGTTATGCGGGGAAATTTCAGCGCACCACAGTGAGGCAACTGTGCACATAGCTCACACCAGTTTGTGCTACAGA